CTCGTAATCATAACTTGTCATCTTGTTAGCGAGACCCGTTGATTGAAAAATAAGAAATGTGGTGGGAAAAACGAATACAGTAGAAGGAGTGGAGACAGGCAAGTGTGATTTATACGTTAAACGCAGCGTTGGTTTCTCTTGTGTTGAAGGTTTTTTTTTTGCGGTAATCCAAACCGAAAGTATATCCCGCACCAAGTCGACCAACCCAGTCGAAAATGCCTGGAGGCAATTTGCTCTAATCCGCACTTCGCATGAAAAATAGGAATGCGAAACAAATGGCCTGATTTCGACTTTTAAAAAAATCACTGTATGGCGAAAGTTATCTTCCGCCCACTATGTCTTAAGAAAAAATCGGAGTCCTTTTCAATACTAATATCCTTTTTTTGAATCGTTTTATGTAAATCATCCTTCGGAGTTTCGGAAATGATGTAACACGAGATGGCGTTTCTATTCTAGCGGGCGTTTCCTTGGGCCAAAACCATCCCTTTTATTCCATCAACGGGAAATAAATTATATTTGTTTACTGTAATGGAGTCAGAATTGAGAAGAAAGCTTTTTTCTATTCTACCCAGGGTCGGAATTTTCCCGATGGAGGTCTTCCGTGTAACGGGGCTGAACGAAAAAGAATTCAAAAATTTGTCAGACTGCGGTTCTGTCGGCTGTCAGAACTTCGCTGGAAGATTCGATCCCGTTCTGTATTAATAAGCAGTACTGGCTTCTTGTCTGTGTTATTTTTAATGATGCTTTTTCCCCGTGTCTGGTTTATATTTATGAGGATTATTGACCCTCTTGCGGGTTCGACGCCGTGTCCTGTTTCGGGTTTGGAAGAATCTTTGATCGACTGAGGAACCCAAGTTGCCGCGTCGACATCGAGTGACGAATCGAAATTAAACAAATTATTTTTTACCCCACCTCATGAACACTTTTTATTCATTGTGTGGATAGTTTTTCTAAAAAAAAAAAATACCTGCTCATTGATCAATAAAATGATCATTAAAACAGTCTTCAATCTGGAATCATTATCCATTTACCGTGAAAAAAAAAGGTATTCATTTTAGTGAATTTCTTGGCGAATGAACGACGGGGTCATTGATGCTCTCCTGATCAAGTTTGATCTCTTTAAAAATGAGTTTCCATAGTCTTCGGATCTCTTTGATACTGTTGAAAAATCACAGAGAATGAACCAAGTGTTGAGCGGTTTTTAAAATTTTCATTTTTTTTCAATCATGCGATTATTTTTTTTCATGTCTATATAGCTTCGAAAACAAGTTGATAAATCGCAGTGCTGTGGAATCTCCCTACAACGAAATTCAGGGAACTAGAAAAAAACATTCTTTGTAGAGAGAACTTCGTTTTAGAGAGCAACAACAATTTGAGTTGATATGAGTAGAGAACCTTGTAAAAAAAAAAGAAGAAAAAAAAACGTCGTACAGGTAAAATCGTTGCAGACAAAATCACTGTAAAGAGAATTCACCTGTACATGATTGGTACCGTAGTAGCACTACAAGTACCGTACTTTCATTCGACTGCTTGTTTGTTTTCGCATTTAATTTTTCCACACAAATTTAAGGTATTCGTCCTATTCGCTTTTGTGACGGAATGTTGAGAACGATTTTCAGAAATTTCCTTATCCTTATTTATAAACACGTTTTTTTAAATAATGATCCCTGCTCAAGCATCATTGATACAATCTTCAAACTGTTATCATGATTCAATCCGTGGGAAAAGAAGAGATGAATATCAATGTATTTCACGGCTGATTCGACCCCTGTACAATCAAGTTTTTATTTTCTTCGGACTTATTTTATGCTTGTTGAAAAATCACTTTCGTGTTCTATTTCTTGCGTGGGCTTTCATCTAAATTCCATTTGTTTGCTAGTCACGAGTGAAAGAGATTAAACTTTCGTGAAGTGATGGGAGGGCGATGATGAACGTGGCTGAAATCGGCATTTCTGGAAATGAGCTACGGACTTGTGGGTTCATGATCGATTTATCGGACCAACGCCCTTTTTCTTCCGGGGCCGAAACCAAGATCTGAATATGCTCGTAAATATTTCCCTCATGCATGAATTAGAGTAAAAGTATGTAATTCAAGTTTAGAGAACCTAGATGGACCACTTGACGTATACTGTATGTCCTCATTGTGCCTGTTTAAAAGAAAACTCATTCCCCGGGCTATTATATTTCCCTGTTGACATCACATGATTGTAAAGGTTTCCATACCAAATGTAATGTACGAGCAATGCGTTATTGAAGGAAGGTTGCAATTTTTAAAATTATTTTATGAAATGATCCAAGGTTTGTTTTGATTCCCCACGGTAGTTCAGACTAAACTGATTTAAAACCACGGGCAACGAAGAACTTCGCAGTATTCGAATTTGCGAATTTTTTTAGGTGATTTCAGTGATTTGCTTAAATCATGCCTTGGGTATTTCTAGAACATTTTGATTCTCACAGCTCGATTAAAATAAATTTTATTGGAATTCTACAGTTTTCGAATTTTTAAAGCTAATTCTTCATGTTGTCGTATGATTTGCTGAAATCGTGCATTGGTTATATCTTGAACATATTGATTCTCACTGCTCGATTAAAATAAATTTTATTGGCTTTGAGCCCGGTCTTTTAATTTCCTCAAATCATGCATTGATCATTTTTCGACCTTTCTGATTCGTACAACTTGATTAAAATACATATTATTGGCCTCGGGTTTGAACTCCACCAAGTGTTATTACTTCGTTACCGTTGAAAGTGTTTTCACGCGTTTCTTTTCGCTTTCATCCTTCAACTTTCGTAAAGGAGCGTTGGATCAGCAAGCTGATGTACATAGTATTTTGTTGAAACTTTATAGTAGTACTGTTTAATAGTACTACACATATTTTAATTTGATGACGACTGCGCTTTTCTGTCGCTCGTAGCATCTCGTTTTTCTTCCGCGCAACTTGAACATATACTGTACGTCCAATTTTTTTTTGCGGTGCTATTTCTTGAAAGTTTATTGTGGTAATTTATTCCAGGTATACACCGAATCAACCTAAAGCATTTGTTGTGTTATCCTGAAAAATTCGGTCACTGCTCAGATCTTTCACTCGAACTCATTCTGTGCTTGAGTTGGAACGATATTTCCGGATGTACCCATAAATGGTAGTGTATTGTTCTTCTCGGAATTTTTCTCATTTCCCGAGAAATGCCGCATGCGCGCAGTTTAATCTAAGAGGAAGTGAACCTTTTTTTATTTTTTGCTAACCGTATTATTCTGATTGATGCACACGTGTCAGCACTCAGCGTGCTGTCTGTTGGTTCTTCAGTCCCTGAGGGAAGAAACGTTGATCTAGTTCCGCCCAAAGTTTCATCCGGACGACAAGAGATGGAGAGATATAGTAGTACTGTTTAATAGTACTACACATATTTTAATTTGATGACGACTGCGCTTTTCTGTCGCTCGTAGCATCTCGTTTTTCTTCCGCGCAACTTGAACATATACTGTACGTCCAATTTTTTTTGTGGTGCTATTTCTTGAAAGTTTATTGTGGTAATTTATTCCAGGTATACACCGAATCAACTTAAAGCATTTGTTGTGTTATCCTGAAAAATTCGGTCACTGCTCAGATCTTTCACTCGAACTCATTCTGTGCTTGAGTTGGAACGATATTTCCGGATGTACCCATAAATGGTAGTGTAATGTTTTTCCTCAGAATTTTTCTCATTTCCCGAGAAACGCCGTATGCGCGCAGTTTAATCTAAGAGGAAGTGAACCTTTTTTTATTTTTTGCTCACGCATAATAAGACTAACTACGTGTGCACAGTCGTGAGTCGCACGACAGACAACCAAGAAGTCAGGGACTCCCTTCTTTGCAACTAGATCAAGGCGGGTTTCAAAGTAGGCCTGCTGTTCTCTACCTCTCAAAGAGAGAAGAACAGTGTTCTTCGTGAGCATTATTCGTGATGTGTGCAGTAAATCAGGGCGTGGTGGGTCCACTGAGTTAGCTCCGTGTGCATAACGGACATTTCTTCGAATGGATGTGCTGCTGCTGCTGCTGCTGCTTGCTTGCTTTTAGCAACATTATTCGAATCCTTTCATCCGATTCCTCTACTGATCTAAAAAAAATTTTCTGGGCTAAGTCTAATTTTATTTTATTTTTCTAAGATTTTAGTTTTTGGGCAAAATGTTCCAAAGTAAAGTCGAACCTCTTCCAGTCGAAGTTCAGGGAACCAGCAACAAAAATCGAGTTAGGGTGGTTTTGAGTTCCCGAAATAAGCATTTTTGTTGAGGGGAAACGGAAGAATAATTGCAGGAAATTTTAATTGGTGATATTCTGTGTCTTGAATTGCTTGAAAAATGGGCTGACAGGATGCTGAAATTGGAGGCACAGGTTCATTTTTTCAAATAGTCGCTCACTTCCTTTCAAAACGCATCACGTTATTTTTTTTTCATTGCGTTCCTCTTTCCTGTGTCAAGAAAATAATTGTAAAAATACCTCCAGAAAATTCCAAGTTATAGAGGTTGGATAGGGAAAACCTTGGGGTTCCGGAGGTTCCTCATGTTATTGTTTTCAAGGAAATGCAGACAGGGGCTCACAAAATTCACATTTGAGAGGTTCGAGCTTTTGAGAGGTACAACTGTAACATGTACTTCATTTTTTTGGGTGAAGGATCGCGTGTCGTATAGGCAAGGAATTTCCTCGCGTGATTCCGAGCCATGCCATGTTTGGTTGCTCTGTTCTTCTTTTTTTTATATATAATAAAAATTGTGATTTGGGTTCACAAGGAAATTTTTTTCTGAATGCACCGAAAGCATGAGGATTCGATTTCGTATCTAATTTCCGGAGCATTCCAATATTCCTGTTATCGAAAAACACGTGGTTCTGTTTTACGAAACGTGAGTTATTTCCTAGACGGATGAGATTTTTAATTATTTCCGACGTTTTCTGATTTAACACCTCAAATTCGCTTGAATTTTAACGGAAAATCAGGAGAAATCTTGACGGATTTAATGAAGCCGAATGTCGATTTTGGCCATGGATTTATTCCTCGTCACAAGTATGGTTTTACTATCGATGATGAAATATTTTTGTTGGGAGCCAAGGATTTTGATTTTTTCCGTTCTTCAAAAACTTCACGAATTAAAAAAATTTTCTTTTAGTCAATTCGCTTTCTGCTCTTCGAACAAAAATACCAGGGTTTATTGTCAATTTGAAGCTATGAAAAGTTCAAAATGAGTTTTTATGTGAGTAATTTTTCTACGTGACTCACAACTTTTCAGATCATGTTTTTTTTATGATGATCTTCATTCCTCAGCTGATGGCAAACTTTGCGGTTTTTTGAATGTTCATTCGGAATGAAAGAACTAACTCCAGGATGAATTTCGTGTGAAAAAAGAAAAATCTGTGTCGAAGTCGTCGATACTGTATAAGTTTAAATAAATTATAATCTTTTGGGCAAAAGGGCGTAGTTTGAAATGATGATGAGGTCCGCGAAGTTGGCGTTTAGGCCGACGCTAGTAATTTAAAAAAAAAACGAGGTGAACTAATTTCCGTTTCGAATCTGATACTAGTCCGTGTCATGCGATAACCATATATATTTTTTCTTTAGGTCGATCCGCATTCACTTGTCCTCTGAGGCAGAATTTTTAATATTTACTGAAGTAAAAACAAATAAAATAAAAGGTCTTATTCCTTGGGCGTGTGATGGATGTTCTTGAAACCGCAAAGCGTTTAAATCACGGGTTCCTTTGTCAGGTTTTCTGGACATTGAAGCGTTTTGTGAAATTCCGGGGCGACAGAAATGGAGCATCCGGAGTGTGAATCAAGTTACCATTTGATTCCTTACGCATGTTTTTCTTTTTTTTTTACCCTCAAAAGTTTTCGGGTGGGAGAATTTGAAGCGAGAAGAATGCCTTTGAGATCCAGTTTGACGTGAACGGGAGCAAAAAAAAAAAAAAAAAAAAAAAGAAGCCCAGGGGCGTTGTTTCAAACTAACCTAGTGAACGGGAGAAAAAAAAAAAAAAAAAAAAGAAGCCCAGGTGCTTTGTTTCAAACTAACCTCTCTCTTATTCCCTGTATGCTTTGAACCAGCAGCGAAATGAAGACACAAAGGCAGAGAGAATAGAAACCTGGCGTCGAAACACTTGACACCGTGAAATGCTCTTGAAAAGATGGTTCGCACTTGGAATAAATGGGAGTTCTGGAAAGAAAGAAAGGTAGAAAGTTGGAGGAATACTATTGTGTTCTTTCATTATCCTCCAGGGTCACGTCTTCTCTATAGTTTAAACTTTTATTTCTTAGTTTCTGCCTTCTGAAGAAAACTGCGATTCTCAGCGCATGGAAATGTACTCGAATATCATGTCCATTTAAAAACCACACATTACGTAACATGAAAAAGAATGCAAGTGTCGGAAACTTCGATGATTTCAGATTTAATGTACAACTTTCGCGTATGCTGTTTTGTCTTTCACTTCATGGGTCTCAGAAATAATTTACGATAAAATGTCTGACATTGAAATGACTTTAAAAAAGAATGTTACTTGCGTTTGATATAGATTGAAAATCTTCTGATTAAGTCTCGGGATTTTTATTTTTAACGGTATGAAATGAAAATCTTTCGACCAAAATGATCACCTCCAATTTATTTGTTTCGCCGTAAACCTTTCTCAAAGATGATGGTTTCTGTTCCAGTTAGCTACAGTATTTTTCTCGTGTGAACCCGATCAACGCAAAGGAAAATTACAATACAGTATATTCATATATTCATTTTAATCGCGTCATCCAGAAACAGAGACTAGCGGTATGCTTATGCACGCAATTTTGTGTGTTGTACAGGAGTTTGTCATGTTATGTACACTTCTTTTTAGGATTTAAGCTATGAAAGCTGCTAAAGTTTCCTTAGAATTCTTACACAGCATTTAAGTTTAAAATGCGATCCGCGGAACATCGCGTGAGCAATTGGTTGCATCGTAAATTTCAACAACTGAAACCAATTCTTTTGCAAAAAAAAATTGCATATAGTCAGAGGGGACCGAAGTTGTGGAGAGTCACTTGTTGCGTTTTGAATAACAGATTGGAACTTCAATCAAACCCATGAATTGCCTCAATGCAATGCTTTCATAAATGTTGGGTCCGAAAAGCAGCCACAACAAAATATAGCGACGAATCAAGACTGAAATCAGAAACTCTTTGTTAAGTAACTCAATATTCCAAGAAAAAAAATCTGCTGCTGAAATATTCATGCGTATGGCGTGAATAATTCGCACGTAGGAGCAACTGAATTACTGAAATCAATTTCTTATTGCTTTTCTCTTGATTGTCTCCGTACTTTTTATATAATATTCAACCTTCTCAAGGTTTTCATCACTGGATATAAAGCAACCTCTTGAGATCAGGTTCCAAGAAGGGAATTTTTGGTGGGCTATTATAAACCAATTCCAAGAATGTATTAATTTTTTTATTCTAGCTGCCATGATTAAGAAAGACTCGGCACAATTCGCCCAGCAAAAAATACTCGAGTCCGGGTAAAATTATTCAAGTTCTATTTAGTTCACACCTCGTCTTCCTGATATTCCATCGAACCCAGGAAAACCCTCATTGCGCCAACTTCCCGTATGCCCCACGAACCCGAAACCCATTCTGAAGTTTTAAAGGAAGATGAGGGGTGGAAATGGGAAAGCAAGGCGTGGTGCGAAGAATGCACAGGTGTGTTCTATTAACCCGAGGTGGAGGGGAGAAGGATCAGCTTTCAGATCACTGAACTATATTTTCACTGCAAATGCTCTACTCCCTCTCATTATGCTTGGGTGTGTGTGTGCGTGTGCGTGTGTGTGTGTCTTGCATCATGAAGAGAGAAGAAAGAAGAAAAAACAAGAAAAAACTAAGAAGCTGAGTGAACTGAACTGAACTGAACTTCGGAAACCAATTTACATTTTTTTTCCTTCACGCCTAATTTTTATTGGAAACCGTTTTCAAATACACAAGGGAACTGGGGTTGTATGGGGTGTCTAGTGAGTTTATGTGAAGTATGGACATTTAAACCTATACTGTATGATCCTAGTACAAGGCTTAATTACTTGAACCACCTGTGACAGAATAATTTGGTACCTTAAAGTACCACTATACTTGTACACTGACTGCTGTTAGATGGCAGTCATATTAATTGCATATTAGAGATTTTAATCTGTTCCCTTCAAGCAATTCAACAAATCAGGTGTGCAGAAAAAACAAACTGATTCAGATGTGCGTTGAAAATTGTCGGACTGTAGAGGTTATCTTTATGAATTGTGTTTTGTGTGAAGAAGTGTGTGAATTTCTTGGGGCTAAAATCGAAATACATTTCATCTTTTGCTCTTGGGATTTCATAAAAGAAATCCCCAGCTGCAGCCCACAGCTGAATGATGTGTTTTATTTTTGGATTTATCACATTTTTTCTGCCTCCTTCTGTAATTCTTGATTGCACCTCCCAAGGTCAAAAGCTTTTTTTTGTGTCACATATTTGTTCAGCCCCCCTCTGAATTCCCTTCTTAAGGTTTATTTAATACAGACCTCACTAACCAAAATAATTTCCCCCTGAAGTCCTGAACCATGTATAAATTAGATTTCTGTAGATCTTTCTTGGGCTACTATCCTAGGGATCCGCAAAAGATGAAATCCATAAAAATGTAACTTTATTGATGCTTTTCTGAATGAATTGAGTCACCTGTGACTCAAATTGGGAAAATGCACCCTTGCTTCCAAATTCAGCATCCTGTTAACTCATTCACCTAAACTTTTATGGCCCAGAATATCACAATTTCACCTATTATTTGCAATGACTAATGAGTTTACCTCCGCAAAAATTCTGGTTTCCTAGCCCAAGAAGTCCTCAAGGCAAGTTTTTTTTTTTTTTTTCAGCTGCCTCTCAGTTTGACTTGAAGCAGTCTGATTGAATGCCCATAACTATCTTGGATTATTTTATTTTCGGTAGATGTCACTGACTGTCATCGGAAAAACACATAAAAATACATCCTGTCATCCCAAGTTCCTAGGAAATTCCGCGGGTTCCTTCTTTTGAACAGTCGTTCATTAAAATATGACCTTTGGTTGAGTACCAGATGGAATTTTTTTTACATTTATTGCGTTTCTTATGTAGGAATTCGCCCGAAGATTCATTACTTTCAATGAACTTCATCTCCGAAATTCATTCCACACAAAAAAAAATGCAGACTTTTTAGGCACCGTGTAATTTTGCGTTATTCCCCGGTGTTCGTGGGCGAATGCAGGTGTTGGAAAACACAGCTGGAGTTCTTTCAGTTCTTCGACGATGGGGGTATATTTGACTTGTCCCGAAGAAGCATAAAGCTTCTTTCGAGTGCCAGTCTGGGAAGGAAGTTCATGCTGGGAAATTATGCGGGTTCTATTTTTCGTTGTACGAATTCTGGAAATAAACAAATTCAGAAAAAAAAACCGAGCGTACGAAAAACAGTCAAATTTTCTGGCTTGCTGCTTCGTTGGAAATCGTTCTGCTGAAACCGAAATTAGAACGGCATGTCGATGATGGATTTTGTCTCCCCCTTGCTTATTCTGGTTCTGACAAAATCTATACTCGACCTATACGTGGAAAAAAAAGAAGCAAGATTTCCGATTATCGTGTTTTGGAATACGGAAATGGTTTTCGTTTTCTTCCTGAAAGCCTCGGGAATGAGAAAATCTTCATTATTTTCTGCGTTCGAAGCACGCTTCAAGTTATTGTGATTCGTTCAGCTGCGTGTCTTACGACCGAAAAGCTCGTCGAGTCACGTTCTGAGACTTCAGTTTCGAAATTTCGCCATGGTGTAACAAAGTTGAAGGATTTTATTGACGGAATCCCCCCTCCCCGATAGATTCGTATTTATTTCGCATTAATGAGCCAGTGATGCATTCCGAATTTCCTGTCAAAGTGCGAACTAATTATATCTGTGTATAGATTTGAATATTTAATACCTTATATATCTCGTATCAATTTCGCCAGCTAATTCCGTAAGGAGATGTTCGGATGACGATTTGCCACGAATAATATGCACGAACTGAAACGATTCTGCTTCGTCATTTTGGAATAAATCTGATCATCACATTCGACTCGAAGTTGAGCGCCTCGAACGTCAGCCTTTTTTATGTGATGCCTTTGGTTTTTGTTTGACTGGTTACGAAGGCGAGAGAAAAACTCGATGTCATTCTCCGACCTTCCTTCAAATTAGGAATATATTTGAGCTGAGATATTATCTATTTTTATTTTTTGCGTGGGACATGAGCTTTGAGAACCGGCAAACAAAGACGAACACAGAGAGAAAAATCGGTTAATTTATTTTGTTTCTTAAAAACAGATGGACGATGCTAATCTTGACCGATTTCCGTGTTTTTGGAAAAGCTATAGGAATAATCTTGAACCTCTTGGATGAGGTTCTTTTTCTTTTAACGAACAAAATTAATTAACCTTCGATTTTCGAATCATGCGAATAAACGTTTTAGAAGAAGCGAAGCTGGGCAGGAAAAAGGCTTTTTTTCTTCTTTAAAAGAAACATATTGATATATTTTGTCGAATTGTATTAGCTTGTCGCTATATTTTACAATCCATAAAGTCATGGTGTGCTAACGATGTTTTCATGCTTTTTTTCAAACACTGAATGTTACAGGATCTGTTTGGACTGAAGGATTCGGAAGTGAAAGCCCTTGGAGTTCGAAATGTTGATGACCGAAACAAGATTCTTTCAAGTCTTCGAAATCTTCAAGAACGACGCAAGAAAGGTATGAAATATTTTTGTGGAAACGTCAACATCCAACATTTGCGTAAGTCGTGAGAAAATTGAATAGTCGACTTCTGGAGTATATTGAAGTCGTGTGAATCATTCTCACAGACTCGAAAAGTAAATATTGTAACACCCTGAATTATTATTCGTAAGATGAAATGATGTATGACGTAACTCGTAAGCAACCGCATGACCAGGCAAACTAAAATATTTCGAGTTGATTCCAAGAAATAAGTGCATGCGGTTCTGTATTCAGGGCATCTTCTTAAGGAAGGTACTGAAGATCTTGGAAATGAGTTTCAGCCTGGGTGCTGAGTTCTGGAAAAATATCTCAAGTTCTTTTCCAAGTCCCTCTCTGAATTCCCTTTGAAATAATTCATCCGTAACTTGAAGGCTTTCCCCCTCAAACATCCAATAATGGAATTTTTTAAAGACCTTTTTGGCTCTTATTTTCTTGACGCAGGAAAGAGAAAGCAATAAAAATGTAACCATGTGTTTGAAAAAAATGATAGACTATTTGGGCAAATGAATCTTTGCCTCCACACTCAGAAATTCTGTCGAACTCATTTATAAAGCAATATAAAACCCAGAATGTCAACAATTTAAATTGTCTGCAATTCTTCTCGGTCGATTCCCTCCCTGGAAATCTTCCTACTTCAAATTATTTCGTTGTTTCCTTGAACTTCGATTTAAGGAAGATCGACTTTACAGTACAGTATTTGAATTCTGAAGTTCTCGGCAAAAACGGCAAAACACAAATATGGTAATACCTCCGGTTAAGTGTATTCTGTCTTGGAAAATCTTGCGATAAACGCGTGTACGGAAATGCATTACGATTTTCAAGAATAAGCAGAATTTGTTGAACTAGTGACGCTTGAGGCAGTTTTCGAAAATGTTCTTCGTGATTTCAAGCGACTTCGATTCCGAACTCGATCACCTGTAAAACTGTATGCGTAATACTACCTTCCTGCAGTACTGTCGCAATTCACTTGCGCAGACTTCGAACCCGGAAGCATTTCCTGTACTGTATAACGTGCGGTGAGAGGCAGAGTACGTTAGCCTGCTGGTGACATCTACCCGAGAGAAGTCAAGACGGTCTACTTCAATTCTCCGCCGTATGGCGTGGCGAAATTCATAATTCAATTTATTAATTTCTCACCCTACAGCACTTTAAATCCCAGCTCAAGTGCAGAACTTCATGTTTTCCTTGTCCACGAAACATAAATTCAATAGGAAATTATACACAAAGCTTGCAATACAGTATTAACAAAAATCCCAAAAATTTGTTCGCGCTCAGATTCAGGCATCAATTATCGTAGACACACGCTTTGGTTTGAAATTAGTGCTTGGAATTATCTAGTTTATTGAATTGAAGGAAAGCCGATTTCATGCGTCCTATTTATGCTTTCAAATTTCAAGGCCGCGTTCAACATTTGTAGGAAATTGACGGATCGCGTTTTTTTCTTCCAATCGCAGATGAAACCCGGTTGAGGAAATGCACCAGTTCTTCAAGCATTAATTCAGTACGGAGTTTGGTCAACATTCCACCGGCCCCCGTTGAGTGAGTACTTTTTTTCTGTCAAACACATTCTCGCGAAGTTCTTCTGAAATGCCCACCGGATTCAATCACGAAACAAAGAACGGAGTAAATGCTCTGATCGTCGCGAATTCAAAAATTCAGGAGGATTTAAAAACTGAAATGGAAATGAAATGTATGTAAGCTGCCTGGGAATGAGATTTTTAATCGTGGCCTGAATCTCTCCAACGTGGAAGAGAAGGGCTTTTCGTCGTGTACAGAAATTCGCAGAAAAATTGGAAATACAATAGTATCCTCGAAGTATACTTCTGAGAAGTTCTCAGCGATCTTCGTGAATTTAACCCGTAAAAAAATCAATGATTCGTAGTCAAAAGCGCAAGCATGTGCAGTGAAGTTTTTTCGAATGATGAGAAGTCGATCGCAATTGGAATGCGGATGTGGTCAGTGAGGTGAAACCGCGTGTTTTATTCGCCTATAATTTAGCATTTTTTTGGTTGAAAGGGATTTCTGGATTTTAATCTGGAATACAATACAGTACTTGCGTTCGGCAATGTTTCTCCCAGAAGAAGGTGTATTTTACAGCACCTTTGGATATCGATTACTTTTTAAAATCTGGAGTTTTGAAAAAAATAAACATTGTGTATACCTGTATACCGTAACGTATCTTTACAGCAAATATGAATTATTTAATTGCATTAATTTTTCAGTATAGCAACGTCGTTACGACAAACTTCCGAATGCCAGGAAAAAAAACGTTGTTGAGGATTGTTTTTAATAGATTCTCTTGTCAAAAATTTCCTGAATATAAAGAGGGCACAGTCTGAAATTCCTGATCTCAAAAGTGACAGACTATGATTCTTGTAACTTTTGATGAAAGCTGTGTAATGACGAACATATTTTGAAGCGGAATACATGATTGAAGCTAACAAATAAAAATCAGATCACTCAGTTTTTCAAGCAGTAATGAAATAAGAATTTGAGAATTTAGAATATGTAGGTCTGATCTGAACAAAATCTTCAATTGAGTCAATAATTTTCAAAATCTCATTATAACAAATTATTTGTTACAACAAACTTTTTCTGAAGTCCCCACAAGTTTGTTGTAACGAGATTTTACTGTACCAATTTGATTACGGGCAGGTCTGATGTTATCATTTTTCTGGTCATTATTTGTGAAAATCTCATCATGAAAAATTACTCAGTATTGTAAAACAAATTTTTTCCAAAAGTCCCGAAAAGTTTGTTGTAACGATATTTTACTGTGTATAGTTCCGTGTATTTTAGCATCAGTATACCGTGTATTTTAATCAGAAAAGATCGTGCTTCCGAAGTTTCGATTGAATTTATTCTTTTGGAATAAAACAGCAACTCCCTGCGATTTGTATCGCTCAGTACTGGATTTTCAATCTGGTAAAAATTTTTATAAGAAAAGCTTTTGAAGCGTTTAGTTATAAAATACATGGTCGAAGAGTTCGAAGAGTATAGTACTGTACTTGAAAAATGCAGCTGGAAATTTGACCGGGCTTTCGAATATGAAAATAACCTTTTCTTCCACGTGATTTCATTTATCAACACGCAGCCAGGGCTGTTCTACGTCATCTGAGCAGACACTTGAAAATTTTCAAGAAAAAATAAATAAATGTAAAATGAAAACTATGTCTCGACGTTCTTTGCGTACGACTCACGCTTATATGAGTTTAAGTCTTAAGGATATATGTCAATAAAAATTACGAAGCAAAAATTCTGATCACTGTCAGAAGGTTGTTTGTTGTGGAACTTTTCTCGATTTAGCATCGATGATGCAGACAAAGTTGTTTTTTAATCTAGACACTTCTGATTATTTGCAGGTGATTGAAAAATCTCGATATCAGTAGTGACAAATCCTTGATTTCCTTGAAATTTTTTCGTATGGGCTGTGGACCACATGCTAATTTATGTAAAACCAAATAGAACGTGATGTGGACGTGCTTCATTTGGTAAAATTTGTTCTTGAGAAACTCTTAACCTTCAGCTGTCTTCATTCTGCTCCAAGTTGGAGAAAATTCGAATGAAAATTGAGGTAATAGGATCTATAGTAGATCCCCTGAAATTATTTCTACCTTGGAAATGTATCCAAAATATCCCGAAATAAAAAAATTTCTGTCTTGAAATTGACTGTGAAAGCACGGCCATCAGAATATTTTTTTCAAGCCCATGAAAAGAAATGAAAGTAGGTCGATTATCTGTGTGTCAAGCCCGAGAATAACTTGGAAATTAGCCCAAAGACCGTGAACAATGAAGAATTCTAGCTTTTTTTTTCGTTCCCTCATGCTGTTTTGATAGCCTTTGCAACTGGGTCAAAAAGTCTGCGCAAAACTGAATCAAGTACTTGTCTAACCGAAATGCTCGTGATGTTGTTCTGAGGTCCATCGTAGTGATTTATGAGACACTCGCGGACTCACTGTCGGCTCTGATTAGGACGTTATGAGGTCATCTAAGTGCACCAAGAAGATATTTTTAATGCCGAAAACGTGGCTCTTTTATCTTCGAAAGACAGCTTTCGCGTGTACTTGCGCTGCTGGAGTTCTGCTGGGTAAAAGTTTAAATTAAAAAAAAAAAAATCTAAGTGCACCAAGAAGATATTTTTAATGCCGAAAACGTGGCTCTTTTATCTTCGAAAGACAGCTTTCGCGTGTACTTGCGCTGCTGGAGTTCTGCTGGGTAAAAGTTTAAATTGAAAAAAAATAAATGATACCCGAGAGCTTTGGCTGTGAGACGCGATGTGATTTATGGGTCCAGGTTTTTGGAGTTAGTTCAAAATGCATTTTGGTGATGCTATCACAGTGAATGTTGGGTTAAAAATAGTTTTATTCTGGGATAATTAATGAAAATTTCAAGAATGAAATACTTCTATAGTGAATTGATTGTTTGCAAATCCTCTTTTTTTGTAGTGGATGTTGGAAATTGAAATAGGAATGACTAGAATGGTATTAGACTGGCGCCGCTAAAACGGTAGAACTTCGGAGGAGTCTGGGATCTGGTGGGACTGAGCTGGAATTTGAGTCCCCATGGAATTCCAAATTCTTGGGGAAATCCTTCTAAAAAGATAATTCGATTCAGGGACAAAAATTGCAAAATGAAATAGGTTTAAATACCGGATAGACTCTGTATTATATCATCAATTGTTCTTGGTTTGTCTTGCGCAAAACACTGCTTGGAAATCAGCTGTTGCAAAAATCTTGAAATCTTGAAAATATATCAACCTTACACTAGGGTGTCAAGCACCCCGGCCGCAGCCTGGCTGATCATCATTATAAATTTATTTCAAACCTCAGGAAAAAGTTTGAATCAAAATCTTCAAACCTTCTTTAATTCCATTTCTAACAGCGGAAGCATATCTTCATTTCCTTGAATCATCATGTCGTTTGCGTGCCACAAAATATTTCAACGACACAAACGAAGGACCTTTTCATTTAAAAAGTCAAAGATTTGAACTACGGTACCTGAAAATGTTCGGAAGTATCTCATTTATTCATTTTTTCTATTAGCAATTTATAATTTTCAACACTTCCTTTCGGCTGGATGCGAGAATTCAGGATTAACACTGATTAAAAAAAAAACTTTTAAAATGTTTGAAGGCTGATACTTTCAAGATTCAATGTTGAGAACGCAATCTTGGCGAATATTTTTTCATTTTTTCGAGATTTCACGGAGAATTTCGTGGTTGAATTTGTATTTGATTTTCTCGTGGCGTTTGTTTTACTTTTCTGTATTTCAAAAAGGTGATAGTGTAAAGAAATTTGCTTGAATGATATTAAACTGCACTTCATTTGGCGTGTGAGCGTAAATTTTCTTTTCATTTTCGAACGACATACTGTATCAAATTCCAATGTGAAGAACTGCCGCACTTCGACAGTCGTTTCCGAACCATTTTGTCCCGCTTTTTTGTATTCGGAAAAAAGCCGTGGATAATTTTGCTCATGTTTTAAGGATGTGAAGATATTATATCGAATACCGGGTTCTGTTAATAATTCTTCTTTCAAAGTGGTAACATTTGGGCGTTACACCGAGACGTGCTTTGCGATTGTGGCAACAGTATGCAATATTCCTGAGCTCTTGGGGTAGAGAAGTGACATCTGGGTTTTCAGATTCGTGATCATACGAACTTGATTTTGTATATTTGGCTTGGTGTCGCCCTTCGGCTTGGCGCGCTCGCAACGTAAAAAAAAACATCCTGTGAAGCTTTCTTCAATTTGACAGGAATGATTTTTATCCTTGCTATTTTGCTGGTTACAATAGCGACGATGCGTTTAAGTTAAACTTGAAAACTCCCATCGAAAATACGACAAATTCCCAAAGGCACTATTCCCCTGCAAACAGCGGCCAAATAATGAAGCCTCCACGCCGTGAACGTTGTCAAGCTGAACTCCGAAACTGACAGAATCCCATGGGCTGAAATAAAAAATGGCCATGCAACAATCAAGTGCCGATGCGCCAATTCGAATTTCTTTAATTTAGGATGCACTGAACTAAAAACGCAATATAAAGTTGGATCTGGCCTCTTTGGCACTTGGTGGTGTATCTCACAAGGTAAATTTTCATGTGCGCGTGGGATTGTTTCCATTCATGCAGGACCATGCTTGACATTATTTATAAAATATTAAACGTTTACATCCTTCAAGTCTCTTCTTTGAATTGCAGTCTTTATGGTACCGTATGTACTATAAAGACTGCAATTTATTCCGAAAAACTGTGCTCAAAAATGTTGTATTGGCATATGCAGTACCTACCCGGCCAAATATGCTGGTGTGTATGGGCTGTAGTACCTAAAATAAATCAGCTTATACCCTTGCAACTGAAGCCTATTTAGGCTGACTTTGATATGAAAGATGAAAAAAAAATTCTCGAAAATAATCATCTACTAATTCAGCATGATAACATTTTTATGGCGTGCCTACTGTAATTCTCAAACTAAGATCACCTTCCCAAGTATTAGAATCTATTATTAATTGAATTCTAGAAAATCACGACAAAAGCACTATTCGTCAGTGGTGAATGATGATTGTTGATTTCCATTTGGATGAAGGATGTAAATGATGTACAGTATTTCTAAATTGTCTTTATTTCGCACAAAAAAAAGAAGTTTCAGCATCTTTCATCCCTGATATGTCGACGTACTTGGTTGTATTTCCAAGCTTCTTTCTTACGTTGCCTGTCAAGTTATTTTATTCGCTTTTTTATATTCTTGATCCTCAATCTCTGATACGGAATTAAAAAATTCGATATATTCCCATTTTTGTATCATAGGGCAAATCTCCCAATGAAACAAGCTTCAGAAGACGTGATGAACGTTTCCCGAAGTTAGAATATTGTTCTTGTTTGAATAATAATCACTACAGATCGAATCGTCCTCAAGGGAACTTGACAACACCGTGTTCCTTCATTTTCCTGATTGATTGATTGATTGATGAGGAAACCAGGAAACGGTGTTTCATGCATATACCTACTCTCTTGTTTTTTCTTTTTTTCTCTCTCTACCTATATATGTCACTCCTCAATTCTAGTTCAAATCACTGTTCTTTCCCGTCTTGTCGAGAAGTTAATTTGTTCGAGAACGTTATCCGATTCGTATCGTTCGTCACCCTTTTGCCTTATATGGACTAAAAACCGATCGTCCGTCGAGGGAGTAAGGGAAAGAATTCCTCTTGGTTGGTGTTTTTTTTTTCCATGACTAGGGTTGTCCCTGAATTATTCAGTAAAAGGTCCCCTTCGCAGTTGACGAAAGTTCGTTGTACCACGGACCCGCTTTTTAGGCACATCTTTTCCCGAGGTCTTCGTCGTGGCGTGAGGACTTTATTCTTTCGTTATCTCACCTTTAGCAGGGAGGGCACTTTTTTTTTCGTGGGCATGTGTGTGTGAAAAGCTGCAAGTACGTGTTATCAACCGAACTTGAGCTGCGTTATAGGGGTTATTTTAAAGTTCTGTGTAATTACATTATTTAGCCTTTTTTTCGCTTTTTACGAGGGCCACAGAAACTTGCCACGACTTCGTGAGACGAGTTCTATATTTTTTTTCTGCGTGAGACGAGCTTTTTCTTTTTTTACGCGGAATATTCAGTGGAATTTTCGAAGATGAATCTTGTTTTAGGCCAAACCCTCTCTTGGATTGTTAAAGACAACTTTTTGAACTATTGAACCAGCGAATCTTCGAATTAGCAGTTGAAAAAATCAATTATTGATTATAATGATGCCAATTATCTTTCTTGTAACCTTTGATGATTCGGCTGAAACGGGATCGAATAAGCATATTTGAATAATCACCAAGTCGTGTGGTTCGAAGTTGCCATCTAATAAATTCAAGTAGCGACTGTCTCGTGATCGGTAAAAAATATGGTTTTTTGTAAAAAATTAAACTTATCTTGGATCGATTTTGGTCCTTCCAAAACATTTTATCTCACGTTTTTGAACGGTTAGTCTGATTTCAAGGCGGAAATGGATTTTATGAGTTGATTTCAAATATTAGTCCATGTAAGGTTTCGTTTTGAAGTCTTTGTGGAAATGTGAGCCAAGTCTTGAATTTAGTCGCTTTTGGCAACTTTCAATTTTTTAAAAGTCGTACGATAGGTTGAATGCAAAGGATTATTTGTTGCATGGAAAATTCACATTTTGAACCATTGATTAAAAGTTACTGCATATATTCATACCAATTTTGGTTGAGCTCGCCGACGTTCGACATTATTTGATTTCGAATCAAATTTGCATCCCTCAAGCCCACATTTGTACTTTCTAAATAAAATTCATTGTTTTTCGGTGGAAAGCTTGAGTGTGATCTACATTCTAGGAAACATGACCAGTTTGAAAACAGTCCTTTGTCATACAACTCGGCAGGTTCAAAACATGTTCCAAAGAATCGCGCTGAGTAAACCAACATCGGCAAGGAAGAAATATTTTGTGTGCAACTTCGGGAAAAATCCATTTACCGACCGTTGATAACAGCACACGTATATATTTTTTCCCCCGATATCTTTGGTCAATTTAGTGCGTCCCTGAACATTTCCGCACTTATTTCTACAGTTGAACCTCGATAACTCAACCATCTTTCCGTGGAATACCTCCTTATGCAGAATTATTTTCAAGTCCCTTTCTGAATTCCCTTAGCATCAATTCATTTATTTGAAACCCTCCTCAGCTCGAAGACTTTCTTCCGCAAACCTTGAGAACTTGAATTTTCTGGAGGCTTTTTCGGCTATTTTTTTATTGACCGAGGAAAGAGAAAAGTAATGAAAAAATGTTGGTTGATTTTTTATTGAAAGGAGCGGAAAATTAATTGGGCAATTGACTCCTGTATTGTCTTCAAGTTCATCATCTGTTTTTAACTCATTTGACAAGCAGTTCAACGTCCAGAATATCACCTATTGCAATTTTCTGTGTTTATTGTCTCTTTCCCTCAACAAAAGTTCATGTTTCCCTAGCTAATTTTATTTTATTTTTTCGCTGGTCCCTGCTTATTGAAACTCGACTGAAACGAGGTTCGAATAATAAACAATAACGAGGCTTTGTCGTAAATTTAACTCCCCGCCAAACGACAGACTCCGGTTGGAATGAGAATACAGGCACTGTACGGAATTATCTGAAGACACGTCAGAGTAAACAGACGAATGACGAGGACTGTCGATGCTACGCGTGACGTGGTGTCGAATTCTCGCGACACCGTCGTCTGTCGCTCGGTGTGTTATTGTTAATTCTTTCCGGTGTGTCGACGTTATTGCCGCCCGCCGCAGGAGCAGAAGCAGCAACGTCGGAAACCGCCATCGCGTTAAATGAGCCGTTTCGTGCATTAAATGGCGTCTATTTCGGAACGCAAGTCATATACTCTTATACGTGTGTCGTGTGAAGGAGGTCATTCGAAGGGTGTTCTTTAGTCTGTGTGGAGGTGGGGGTTATTTTGCGCCACCTACCGGCTTTTTAAGGTGGCGAAAGTGAGTGAGTGTGTGTAGCTAAAAAAAAAAAATGAAAGTGGAACAATTGTGTTTCGGATGACAATGTTTGGGTATGAAATTTTTTAAAATACATTTTTCTGGACCTGATGGTGTGTTGAAGTCTTCACTGCGATTCCTTCAGGAATTACAATGAGACCCCGAGATGTGGACATAATTGGTGCATCAAGAGTGTCCCTGAGTTGAATTGTCCCGAAGTCTAGTCTTGTTTTCCCATAGACTTACATTATATAATGTTTAATTTGTTTTTTATGGAAGAAATATTCTTCAGAATTCCCTGAATTAAAATTGTTTGCCACTTGAATTTGAATTAGTGAATTTATTTTCAACTGGATAAGAACATTATTGGAGCATTGCATGGTGCATCTCTGTACTGTAAATTGAAATGTTGGCATCTATACAAAAATAAAATTCAAGTGAAAAAAGGAGAAGTCCCTCTATGCTGGAGGTAATTTTTTAAAATTATCTAAATGGATGGTAAGTTGGTGAGAGAAATGGCCAAGAACTTTTCTGTCATCAATTTTAGGGTTGGAAATATCTGTCTCTTTTAATTTGGCGTGAAATGTATTTGAAATTCTATCACAAAATGTCCCTATGATGAGTCAGTGTCCTCATGTTGGGCCTTTTTTATTCCTTTTTTCTGGGAAAATAAGTGTCCCTATGTAAAATTGTCCGCAGGTTGAGGTGTCAGCATGTGGGGGTCTCACTGTATATTGTTCACATTGGAGTCTACAAATGTAAAAATAATTTAATGATTCCAATTATCTTTCTTGCAAATGTGATGAATTGCCAGAAACCGGATCGAATTTGTGTCTCAAATGTCGATAGTCGGGAATGACGTTTTCTTAAAATTTTTGAAGTTTAACTTGACCTCGTGGTGTGATAAGTTCTTCGCTGCTATTCCTTCAGGATATTGAGCACATGGAAGTCTAAAAACGCGGAAATAATCGACAGATTCTTTCAATGTTCCTTTTCGAAACTCTCATGACTCGGCTTAAACTGGATCGAATTTCTGTCTCATATATTTTACGTCAATAGTCGTGTGAATAACCTTTTTCCAAAGTTTTATAAGTATACATTGACCAGATGTTATGGTAAATTCTCCACTGCGATTCATTCAGGAACTATA